AATTCCAAAATTGTACTATCGCGCGAGGCCATTTTCAGTGTTCGAAAAACCACGAAAACTGTAGGACGCATTAAGGTACCCCCATAGTACTTCCGCCAGTGGCCCTTTCACGGGCTCGATGAACCTGCCTCCCCGGAACCTGTGCACAATGCACTTCTCACGGCGGTCAAGTCAGCGAGCATGGCCACTGTCTACGAGTTGCTGGTGGTGCGCTCCCCGCCGGATCGGCGCACGTTGCACTTTGCACTCCTTGATGCGGTGGGCTATACAGCCCTGCTTACTGTTACCAGACTACTACTTTGCGCCCGGGCTGATCTGGGCTTTGAGCAGAGAGACGACGAGGGTGATGAAACGCCTTTTGGGCAGCTGTGTACGACCGCATGTGGGACACGATCCGACTCTTTTTATGCAATTCGACTGCGCATCGACCGGCTGAATGGCTGTGACGCCGGAGCTCATTGCGCGCTAAAAAGTCACTAGCCATCCGCATGCTTGCATATGGGGGTTCTATGCAGTTTTGCCCGCCAAGGTACTTGCATGTGTGCTGGCGATGTCGCCATTTGTTTCCTGCTCATAGCTGACTGTGCCTCGGGCCTTGCTATCGGGTCGACAATTCTACTGTACCCCAGGCTGTTCAATCCCCGCCACCTCCAAGCCGCGCATGGAACCCTTGGCCGAAGCGCCGGCCGCGTTCCCCGTCCAAACGGCTGTCACTGGCGTGGTTCTTCAGCTTCAGCAGCCGGGGCACGTTCGCAAATGGGAGGCGCTCGGAGCTGGTCTGAATATTCCACACCATGACATCCTGCAAGTCAGTTCGTCGGGGGAAGTTGATGCTCCATTTGTCCAGTTCGCACAGATGATCGCTGCCCTCTACAATTGCAATTGTGTGGTCATTGAGGCTAGTCGTCGCATGGCATGGCTTAAGTCAGTGCCGAGAGATCCTCGTGAGGCTGCGAGTGGTATCCCTTCCTACCGCGACGTCCAGGGACATCACGGCAAACCGGCCTTCTACCATAACTGAGTGAGCGGATACCCTGCTTAGAGTGCCAGATCAGCCCCGAGAGCCATGTGGTGAGGTGTCTGAAAGCGCCGTTGCACGATTGCTTTTGCTGGTACGCGCGCAAGTGCACCGGATGTCCTTGCAGCCTTCTGTGCTCGAGGACGCCAGGCATTCGCTTGAGCTTCCTAGGGTGTGACTGCCGAGTCGAGGCTGTAATTCTCGGCGCCGAAGTGAAGCCAGGCATTCGACTGAGCTTCCTGAGGGGCGGCAAACGCCTCGATCTTACGCTCTTGAGTGTAGGGACAAAATTGAGCCATGGCTACGCCCCATTGGCAGCGCCTGGACGCCGGCATTAATGTGCGTGGCGGAGATCGGTTTCACTATGATATCCGGCAAGATGGCACCTTTGCACTCTCCGAAGCAGCTCTCGAAGTCACACTCCTGCTTGCCTCGGGCCGCAGCTGCCCACTCCAAGTCCTTGTGCAGGACAGGATCCTCAACGGAAAAGACTAGGCCACCATCGGGGCGGTATGGGCCGCTCTATGTTTGGGCATCACCGCCGCTTCCTCACCGCAGGCTGGTTGCCAGACGGTGGCTCGGTGGAGGGCCGAAGGATCGGCCCCTGCCGCAAGCAGCCAACCGACGTACTGATAATGGCCCGCCATGAGCATGTGGCGAGCAATCACCGTGACTAGCTGCCACGGCCACGGGGCAGCCCCATACCACATCATGTCAACCAGCGAGCGCGGCGACAAATGTCACGGTGCAGGGAATGTGCCGCATCATTCGAGACACAGAATGCAACAGCAATCAGCCTGTGGCCTTGCCATGGTTCAGTGGAATGGCTTTGGGAAAGCCTCAAAGGTGATGGATCCAGTTCGCCTCTTTCTCACGCTGCAGCTCAGGATCACACGTCGACGTTCGCTGTCGGCCGCGACAAGGCCTTTTTCATTTTTGCTCCAATGCCTAGCGGACAGCTGCAGCAGGGCACTGAGTGAGACAGTCATTCGCCTCAAGCAAGGTCCATCTTTTGCCCACCATATTGTTTGGACACGCGTCGGGTCGGCTGCCAGCACGTCGACATACGTCGATGTACGTTTGTCATCCTCCAGCGTTCCTTCTCAGCAATATGACCGGCTGGTGGACTGAGAGCCTTGATTCTTGGAATCCACATGCATTGACGCACTGGAATTGCAAAACAGGAAAAAAAAAGGTCTGCTAAGCTCGGACAAAAGCTGTAATGTCGTTTGTGGGCAGTTCTTACACTCCCCACGCAGACCCTGAAGCCCTCCCTGGGAAAAAGCCCCAACCCCAAAATTCGGTTGCTGAGTCCTGGCGTCGGGCGCAGCAAACCATCCGCAACGAGATGTTCATGCAACTTTTGCAGATCAAGGCGGGATGGTGGCGCATCGACTGAATTAAGTTTCTCTGCGAAACACTTTGAGCTCGATGCATCGCATAGCAGCGACATCACTGCCATGAGGACTGCGATCGAGCTAGGGTTCATCGTAGAGCCGTTTGGCCACATTCCCCAAAAATTCCAGCAAAGCCCTTTAGCAACGTTGATGCGACGTTTGTGTGATGAGCGAAGCTGCCTTCGGATTTGTTGCCCCGCAGCATACCAGCAAGCCCGCCAGCACGCTTTCTGGTGCTTGGGTACGCTTATGTTGGGGGATTTCCATGTCATGTTCAGGGGTAAATTCACCATGTCCCAGCCGAGAGCAGTACAGATTCTGGAAGACTCCTTTGCCAGTGCTGGGCACCCAGTCAGGTTGTGCATGCAAAGTCAGTTTCGTGACTGCAGCTGTCGCATGTTTGATGTTTCATTCACAGGACCCCTTGACCCTTGACCTTAACCTTAAAGGGAGCCAGAACTGTGCGGAACCCTGGGTGCCCCCCAAAGTCGCAGGCAACGGATCTTCGGCAGTTGTCCACGGCATTGCAGGCCAAGTTCTGGATTTTCAATGGCAGGTTTTTTGTGCGAGGAGGAAGCGGCTCACAGGTTGAAAGTATCCTGCAAGACTGGTGTTATTCGGGTTTCATTTGGCAGGAACAAGACTGAGTTCGTTTGATCGCAGACTTGTAGCTACTGTGTCAGATACTGCGATGTCCTTGTGAGCAACGCGGATGAATCAGAAGATCTAGAATCCAGAGTTCTCGGTTTAGGCCTCAGAAGTATGGAGTTGAGACTTGATGATGCACGAGCCCACAAGCAATTAAAAAGGCGATCTGGGGTTTGGGGTGTAGACAGCCCTCCCCAGGAGTCGCCAGATGACGACTTGAGCACGACCTCGCTTGCTTCCTGCAGCGTTCCGGCAGTTGCGAGGGCTTTGCTGGGATTTGTCGGGTTCCCGTCAGGGCACCTGAGGAACTCCCGCCAAGCCTGGGAAATCAGCATGAAGGTGTTGGATCAGACAAAGCCTTTAAACCTGAAAGCAAGATGCGTGGCATCTCTGGATCTGGATTGCTGCAGGCAGAAGACATAATCCGCTCCAACCCGCTTCCAAACTCACTGAGTTGTCACCCCTTGACGAGTCCTCCGATTGTTTTGCTCGGATGATTAGTGGCAGGCAAAAGCCTCGCCGGATGCCCGATCCCAAAGACTGGATAGACACCGTCGGATTGGTCCGGGCCATGTTGTAATCGCAGTTGGTCGGTCTTGAGGCAAAGCGGCCGCCGCTGCAATCTTGCCTTGACAGGCACGCTGCGGCGTGATTTCGACCGAGTGCTTCGGATCTTGAAATGATGATGAGAGCTACCGACAGTCTGTATTGCTGATTAAGACGCCTTTAGGTACTGAAAGTGCTGCCGCAAGAGTGTGGGCTGCAAAGTCGAGCCTCGTTCTGCTAGGTCCAGCCCTGCGAGATCTCTGGAGCTCCATTGCGCTGCTGAAAGCCCTCAGCCCAGTCGGGTGGAGGCAGAGCTACCGTGAATAAAGAAAGAGCAAGTGCAGCAAGCCCTAAGTCCCCCAAACCCTGAACTCTAAACCCTAGACTCCTTAAGTCCCTGACTCCTTAAAGCCCTAAGCCCCGTGCACAGGCCGCCCTCCTCCGGTGGGGTCTTGTGAGGCTGGCGAGAAAGTGGGACAAAGGCCCTGCTCGCACGGATTTTGCTTTTGGGTTGGGAGCGCTTTGGGGTGTTGGATTGGGGGGGTAGTTGTGAGGTGAGTAAGGGTGAGCTGGGGCATTAGGAATTTGGGGTTGGGTTGAGCTGGAGTTCAGGAGCGGGGCTCTAATGTTTGGCAGCAAGTACGTTGCTGATGGTATGCATGAACATTTGCATGAACAGTCGGTGGTGAGAGTAGCAACAATGTTATGCCATGCGTTTGTACGGCAGAGGATGCGACTAGCAGTGATGGAACACGGCAGCAGCGCCTCTGCCCAGGCGGACGGTGGGGTACTTGCAGGTTCGTGCGTGTTGAACGTCACATTGCAAGCAAATCAGCCTATTTTACAGTTCGCTCTAGGATGTAGGCCCGACAATGACATTTCTTGGCCTATGAGGAAGGTCATAAGCAACTTACAAAGAAGTGTTCTGAGTTCCGACGGTGTGAGTGTCGGGACATGTCGGGACGGAGTCCCCGCAGTTGCAGCCCTCCGTCATGACTAATGCCAGGTCTGCATTGGTGAGCCGCTGGGAACGCAGCCTCGTGGTAGTGAGGAGGCGGCCAGCTTGTCTGGTGAAGCTTCAAAGAGGGACGATGCTTCTACCGACCAGAAGGAAGCGAAGTGGTCCAGCATTCATGCAAGCTCAGCAGTTTCCTAAAGGCAGAATAGCAGCCCCTGGACTGCAAAACTTTGACAAACACGCAGGACTTCATTTGCTGCAAGACCGGGAGGCTCTCCGCAGTGGCCCGCAGTGTTTTGCTTCGTCGGTTCTCATGGGTTTTGCTGCCATGACCGGTGTGTCTGACACCTTCTGCAGATTCTGATAGCGTTTTGGCACACATCACAGCATCACAGGCAATTGCTGTAGCAGATCATCGGCCCCTGGTTTCGCCATGTGGCTCTTGGGATGCTTTGGGCTCCTGCCCTTCGCGGCAGCAGACACTTGGTGGACCTCAGCAGCATGGTCCTACACCTACTTGAAGACCGCTGGCTCCCGCGATGACGTCGTGTGCGATCAGTGTGTCATTGAGTTTGATGGCAACTTGGTTGTCGGAGGATCCCAGGGGATAGACGGCATCAGTTACGAGCGTGACAGTTTCAATGGCTTCCTATGCAAGGTGTCAGAGCCGATCAGTGCGCCTAGCACTTGGATGTACTCTGACATGACACGTTTCGATTGGGATATGGAGCCTAAATCCAGGACCTCCTGGAAGAGAAGCCACATGACCGGGCTCGGCAAGACCCAATCACATATCATCCTCGTAGGCTACACCTACGGCGACATGGAAGATTTCGGGACAAATCTCGGGGCCCCTAGCTCACTCCACACACAGGACTTCTCGGACGCTGTTGTCCTGGCCTACACATCTGCTGGCATCCTCGCTTGGGGGCGCCAAGTGGGCACCAACTACAACGACTTCTTTGGTGCCGTATCAGTAAGTCCCAGCAATGAGATCTACGCTGCAGGGTCCACAGCGGGGGATGTGGCGGGCCATGTTGGCGCGGATGATATCTTCTTCTACCGGTACAGCTCAAGTGGGGACCTTATCAACAAGTATCAGCTGGGAACCACTGGAAATGATTACGTCTACAGCCTCTGGCACCATGGATCAAACGAAGTGTATTTGGGAGGCAAGACCGATGGCACGTGGCCGTCGAAAAGCAACACAGGGGGTTCCGATGTTCTCTTGATCAAGTTCAACGCAGACCTGGAGGAGACGTGGTCTGCGCAGCGGGGGAGCTCAGCAGACGACGACTGTGCTGTGGTGCAGGTGAACAAAGTCAATGGGGATGCGTATGTGGTCGGCAACACTAGAGGGTCCATTGATGGTCAGACCTACTTCGGCGGCAATGACTTCTTTCTCATGAAGTTCGATGTCAATGGCAACTGGAAGTGGACACGGCAGCATGGCAGCAGCAGCGATGAGACCGTCCATGGGCTTTGGGTTAAGTATGCCGCAACCCCTCACCGCATCTTGCTAGCCGGCACCACGGCCTTTAACACAGGCTTCGACGGTGCTACCCCTCTGGGAAGCACGGACGCTTTTGTCGTGGAGTACCAGGACCTCTCCAGTGTGGTGTCGCCGACTCACGTCTCGACCGAGCTCATCGGGAGTGATCGACTTGATGAGGGCAAAGGTTTCGTTGAGAGGTCCAACGGAGACATCTACTTGGTCGGAGGCACGGAGTTTGACCCACAGGATACAAACTCATACGGAGAGCTGGATGCGTTTGTACAGTTGCTCACGACTACCACGACCACAGAGACGTCAACAAGCCTGACTCAGACAACGCTGACTTCAACCAGCCACACGCTGACCTCCTCATCGGCGACATCTGTGACACAGACTTCTTCAACGGCGACATCTACGTCTGTCACGAGATCGACCAGCTCAACTTCGAGCTCCATCACCCAGACATCAAGCACGGGCACTTCGTCGACACAAACTACCTCCACGAAGTCTACGTCGACGGGAACAAGCGTGACCTCCACAAGCACGACAGCATCGTCAAGTTCAAGCACCACCTCCACTACTACATCCGCAACGTCATCGACAAGTAGCAGTTCCTCGACAAGGACATCCTCGACAACGACATCGTCCACCAGCATCACGGCAACTACAAGCAGCACCGTGTCGACGACGACGTCCACGCAAAGCACCTCCACGACGACGACATCCAGTGTGTCTACTACATCGTTGACGCGAAGCAGCTCCACGACCACGACATCCTCCAGCAGCAGCACGTCGTCTACCAGCTCCAGTTCTTCAACATCCGTAACAAACACATCAACGACAACCTCAAGTTCCACATCCTTCACGACTACATCGACTTCAACTTTCTCAACTACCACCACGACATCCACCTTGACATCGACCTTGTCGTCAACCACGTTCTCGACCACGGCGTCTGTCACCGAAGATCCGAATGCGGCCCCACCGACGGCCCCACTTGTCGTGCCTTGCAGTGGAGGGCTTCCCTCAGGTCCAGGCGGGGGGCTCTTCAAGTGAGGGCTTTCAGCTAAGGAACTTCTAGTAAGGAGTCTGCCTGTTTCGTGCAAGGATCGCGTTGCTGCTTTGTAGCTTTACACTAGGGCTCCTTTCTATCTGAAGCTCAGAGGTGTGGTGCTGAGCGATTGTTCTGGGAAAGTCTCGGGGGAGACGTGCACGGCGACATGTGACGCTGGCTTCGAAGGCGGCCCGGCAGAGTTTCTTTGCAGCTTCCTGGGCATCTTCGCTGGTCCTGCTCTTTCCTGCTCGCCGGCTTCGTGCCCGAGCTCAGCCTTGCCGGGAGGTTTCGACATCAGCGACTGCGGAAGCACCGAGCTCGACTCTTTCTGCTTCGTTCGCTGCCTTGCGGGCTTCGTGAGTGCCGAGTCCATCTTCACTTGCCTGGGCACCGGGAACTTCTCCGGCACGGCTCCGACCTGTGTGCCGATTCAGTGCAGCATGGACGCCTTGCCGCATGACTCGAGCCTCAACGTGACGAGCTGCATTGGGACCACTGCCGGGAACACCTGCGAAGTAAGTTGCAATGTCGGCCATGACGGACAAGGAGGAGCCTACACTTGCCAAGACACGGGACACTTTCAGCTTCTTACCGCGCCAAGCTGCGCACGCAAGGAGTGCCCTGTACCCCGTGCCCTGTCCACAAATGCCTTCACAACAGACTGTTCGGGGGGGATTCTGCACGGGCAGAGGTGCGTGGCCGCGTGCAGGGCCGGGCACTCGGGAGCTCCCACGGAGTTTCTCTGCGAGAACGGGCTGCTGATCGGCGAGATGCCCACGTGCGAAGCGCTGCCATGCACGCTGACGGGAACCTCCATGGGCCTGGGGCTGAACACCTCTGCCTGCGAAGGGACCAGAACTGGGAGCAGCTGTGCCTTGCACTGCAGCTTTGGTTATCAGGCGATCGGAGACCCCAGCATGACTTGCCAAAGTGATGGGACCTTCTTGCAGAGCGGCCCCTTCCGATGTGAGCCGAGTGTTTGCGGAAACCTCTCGGACCATGCTGCCTCTCCCTTCTCCTCTCCAAGATTCCTGCACACCTGCGAAGAGAAGAGCTTCGGCCAGACCTGCTCGGTGATTTGTGGGACGGGTTGGGACTTGCAGGGCAATGCCACCGTGATGCTCTGCCAGACCGGCGGCTACGTGGAGGCCCTGACCTCGCTGCCTGCCGAGAGCTCCCTGGGGCCCACCTGCGTGCCACGGGAGTGCACGGCCAAACTGCCAGGCTTGCGAGGCGTCGTCCACGACTGTGTGGGCAAGACCACGCTGCAGAGCTGCACGGTGGAGCCGGCCTTGGGCTTCGCGGCCCTCGAAGGCTCCAAAATTTCCAGCACCCTTCTCTGTGGAACCGATGGAGAGTTTAAAGGATCCCTGCCCAGCATCCAGGCCGCCCAGTGCCCAACTCCGTCCTTCGGTTTGGGGGTCGGCAGCACCTGTGAGAACAAGAGCATCGGAGCGGAGTGCTGGGCTTACTGCTTGGCAGGCTACGCAGGCAGCCCGCAGCCCTATCACTGCGTGGCGGACGGCACCCTGGGCGTTGTTCGGGTAGAGCCTCTGGCGCAAGAAGTCCTCTGCACTGCCAGTGCCAGGCGTTTGACCGCTGCTTCCGGCTGTGCTACATCGGCTGCCGAGACGCTGGGCTTGCAAGCCCTGGAGTTCGAGCACAGCTGTGCATCGATGGCCCACGAAGACGTGTGCATCAGCCATTGCAGCCTGGGCTGGGCGTTGACGGGCGATGCTTCCGTGTTGCAGTGCAAAGATGGACTCCTGGATGGCAACATCCCGCAGTGTGATCCGGTGCCCTGCACCTACAACTTGCCGAACAGCATTGGAGTAAAGCACAACTGCAGCGGCATCGCGACTGGTGATACGTGTGTTGCAACCTGTTCAGAGGAGGGCTTCACTTACGCTTCCGGTGGGGCAGAGACTTTCGAATGTCTGCCTACAGGTGAGTTTCAAGGGCAAAGTCCAAGCTGTGTTCCAACTGCGTGCCGGGACTTGGCGCTGGCATCCCACTTCGAGCACCGCTGCAGCAACATGGTCTATGGAGACTGCTGCAGCGTCGGTTGTGCTGCTGGGTTCGTGATAGAGAGTTTGATATCGCTTACCAGAATGAACATTCTTTATTCTCATTCTTCTTCTTCTTATTCTCGTTCTCACTGTTTATACTTCTTCTTAACATATCATCATTATTCTTATTATCGTTAGCATTTGTTTGTCATGAAAAATGTTACTAGTATACTAGTATTTGTTATCATTGTTTTTTTATGATGCTCGAAACTGGCCCTAAACCCTAAGATTGCAACCTAGACCAAGTTCCGGAACACACAGCCCAGGCTCATGGCTTCTCTCTAGTTGGCTCGGCTGCGCAGTACCGGTGTTCTGCCAGCGGAGACATCGAGGGCACAGAGCCTCGGTGCGATCCGAAGCAGTGCGTGAACTCCGTCCCCGAGAGCTTCGACTCCGATTGCGAGGGCATTGCCACGGGCTCCAGCTGCAACGTGAGCTGCGTCGTGGGCATGGTCCCCAACTCTGCACGGCTCATTTGCCACGGCACGGGCATGCTCGTTGGCCCGCTGCCGACTTGCATCCCGAACCTTTGCCCCTTTGCTACGTCTCTCCAGAAGCCGTCTCTTGCCAACGATTGCCAGGACGTGGCCTTCGGGCGGAGTTGCTCCGTCTTCTGCGCAGAGGGCTACAAGCTGACCTCGGGAAGTGTGGGGGAGGTTTGGGACTGCGCCCTGAAGGAGGAGCTCACGCTGTCGGGCAGCTTGCCCAGCTGTGAGGCGCTCACCTGCCCCATGGACCTACGCTCCAGTCATGCTTTTCAGGATAACTGCACGGACGGTTTGCCAGTGGGTGCAGAGTGTATGCAGACGTGCAGCCAGGGATTCAAGGCTGCAGAACCTGAATCTTCCAGCGCCACCTTCACGTGCATGCTGGACCTCAGCATTGATGCAGGCCAACGGCTGCAGTGCGTGCCCGTGGAATGCAACAGCACCATCAGCATTCCAAATCTGGAGCACTCCTGCACAGGCGTCACCGCTAATGACACTTGCTTTGCCTTCTGCCGGAGCGGCTTTACAAGCACTGCAGGTGTGGTACAATGGACATGTTCAGGTCCCGGTAGTGCCGAACCAATTGTTGACAAGAACCTTCCGATCGTCGACGGATATGTCCTGAAAGGAGATGTGCCTGAATGCCTTCCCAAGAAGTGCAAGTACAACATCCCGCTGGGAACGGAGTATTTGCACAACTGCCACAACATCTCCACCGATGGCACTTGTGAGGTTAGCTGCCCTTTCGGATGGCTTGGCGATCCCGATGCTCAGTGCGTCTTTAGAAACCACTTCTTCTGTCGACTCTGTTCAGCGATGCCGCGTAAGGGTTCATAGGGTTCTTCAATCCTCAAGCCCGAAACCCTATGCCCTGAGTCTCTTCTGCCCCGTAGACTAGACTAGAACCCTTGTAGAGCCTTCTCCGAACCCTTGTACCCCAAGAGGGGCCCACAACCATCCAAAGCCCGATAAAGGTGTCGTTGTCCTGCAGCCCCACTGGCGCTTTGATTGGAGGCCTGCCGAGCTGCTCCCCGACCGTGCTGACGCTCACCACAACCGCCACCGCCACTACCAGCGCCTGTTCAGAAACATTTGAAAGTCCATAGGTTAGGCCATAAGCTTCAGGGGCATCAGGGGCCGAGCATCCGTGATGTAGCCTCCTGATGAACAACCCTAAACCCGCTGAGCCCTAAACCCCCGAAGCCATAAACGGCCCCTAAGCCGCCCTACTCCCAGGCACCTTCGGGTCCAGCACGGTGACCCTCCGTGGCTTCCTGGACCTGAGGCTGACTCCCTCCGAGGGCCGCCGGCTGCAAGGAGCGGAGCGGGGTTCAAAGTTCAAAGGTTTAAGCATTCAAGGGTTTAAGAGTTTATGGTTTTCGGCCTTAAGGGCTCAAGGGTCTAAGGGATTTGTGTGCAAGGAGCGGAGCTCTTTGCTGTGGATTTCAAGGCTCAGGAAGCCCTGGCCGCCGCCCTTGCGCAGGTCCGCGGGGCCTTTGCGATTCAAGGATTTTCTCAGCCCGAAATGCCTTGAATGAAGGGCCATGCTCGAGCTTCTGGAACCCCAAACTCTAAACCCTGGACCCTGTCGGGTTCGGTTGCAGAGGTGCTCGAGGTCGAGATGGCCGCTTTGCACCTGGAGCTGCGTGCCGAAGGCGACCTTCTTCGCGCGCTCTATGCCGCGAGCCGGCCTCTGGGAACCATTATATCTATATCTCTATATACATATATATATATATATACATGAGGAGTTTCCGAAACGAGGGGACTTGAATATACTACCCTAAATAGTAGGATCCTTATTATAAACGCCCCACAATACGGTACTGCATCTTTTCGGAAACTCCCATGTAGAAGCCTAAACACTTACCAAGACTTGTAGTCCCGCACAGCCCAGTTGAAAGTAGTGGAGGCCCCTACTTAAGGTATTGAGTCATATTGTAATACCTGTACTGCTAGGGAGGGGCTCGTATTGCAAGTTATTCCGACCCGGAGATTTCATAGAAGACTGTTAAAGCCTGTGCCCTGCGGATCGTTGTTGGTCTTGGTTCTGTTGTATTCTTGATCCCCCTATTGTGATATTGCCGTGAAATCTAGATTTTAGAAGTTAACTCCACCCGAACCTGAATAGCAGGACCCTTATGATCAGGACCCCCCAAAAAAACGTGCCACCAAACTTCAACAAGACCACGATGATCATGATCGTCATCATCAACATCATGGTTATCAAACACTAACGTTAGCACGAACAAAACCCTAAATCCTCAAGCTCCGAGGTCCTGGAGCTCGGCGGAGCTGGCCAGGAGCTGGGCAGAGGCGTTGCAGGAGTCCATGCAATCCACATCTCTGGTGCGGGTGAAGGAGTGCAAGGGGTTTGCGGCTGAAAAGCTTGCTGCCTTAAGTTCCTCCAGTTTTGGGTTTCTTTGGGCCTGGTGAAGGACCTGCTAAACCAGAAGCTGGCGGGCACCGGCTTCCAAGTCAACTCCATCGACGCCTTCGAGGTCTCTATCGCTCTCGCAGATGGCATCTCGGCCCCTGTTGCGATTGTGAGTAACGCATCTTCTTCTCTTTTTCTGGTAAACGAACTTATGTAGTTACGAAGATGCCAGGAGTGGCAGAGACCGTGTTTGTTGGCCAAGCGCGCTGGGGCGTGGGAGTCCTCGTCATCGTCGGAAGCCTCGTGGTTTTGGGACTCTTCTGTGGCGCCTGGCGCCTTCTCCGGCAGCCGGCGACGACGTCAAAGCCCGGGTCCGGAGGTGACGAAGTTAGCCCGGAGGTGGCGGAGGCGAGCCAGCCAGCGACTGCCAGTCTGACTTCAGAAATCGCCGCTTTGGAAGAGCAGATGCTCGAGGCCGGCATGAGCATGGTCGAGGAGGATGCCGTGGTGATCGCGCTTTGATGCGCTGCTCATCCACACAGGCTTCAGCTTTCAAGAAGCAATGCGGAACGTAAGGTTCGAAAAGTCAGCTTTGCTGCATTTCGATTTTGTGATTTTGATGATCTCCACAACGGGGGTCTGTCGAAGCGCAACCTGTGGCAACGCGCCATTTTGGCTGCTGAGCTTTGCCAGAGTGTTTACCACAAACCTCTTTCGGCATGTCTGGAAATGCTCGGCAGTCCTGGCCGCCCGTTCTTCCATTGTTTAGACAGGGGCCTTGCAAAGACTGAAGCTGCGTTGTCACAGTCACAGGTGTATGAATTTGTGGTACCAGCATTGGCGCAACGTGGGGTTACTATATAAGAGATGTTGCTGGTCTAGTCGGAGCAGCCGTGCTCTAGACCCCAACGAGTGCGCAGGCTGTCCAGGTTTTGTGCCGCAACGCCAGCGGTGTATAGTGTCTAGAGAGTCGCTGGACTGGCGGGGCTATAGTCTCGGAATCGAGGTGCCAGACGACACATGCTGCTAAAGATGCGATCGTACTGGCCCGCAGAAATGATGCTGCTGGGGCCTACGAACCAGAGTGTTCCTCAGCTGCGCCCGCATCTGCTGAGCATTTCCGGGCTTTTTATCTCACATCGCCTCTTGCACGTGCCTGGAAACGCTTGGCAGTCCTAGCCGCCTGTTCTTCCATAGCTTAGACGGGGGCTTTCGAGGAATGAAGCCGAGTTGTCAGAAAAGCATCTCCCCTTGCAGAGGAGGGGACAGCTGCTTCCTTTGGCGTTCGATTCGAGTGTTTGCGCATGGAACTTTCAGAATTCATGGGGACCATCCTTCGTCATACATGGCCCTACCAACTATCAAGCCGGGATATTGCTATGACAGCGATCTTGCTAATGTCAAAACTTGTAGCTGTATCATTTGGCGCAAACTCGCTTGAGAGCCCAAACTACAGGTGGAACGGTGTCTCAAAGCTCGTGATGCTCCTTTGGGGGATCTCCATGGCAAAAGCGGGCAGACTTGGTGACGAATCGATACTAAAGCACGGGCATGAAGTTTGTCGGCGCGGCATACCACAGGCTTGGTTTATCCTCCGAGCCTTACCATGAGAACTCCACCTCCTGCACATTTAGACATATGTATATATATATACACACACATACATACACATGTATAACTTATATCAAGACGGGGTCTTGGTCGTCAGGTGCGCATGGCTTGCTTCGCTGCTCAAGCGGTGCCTTAGAGCAGATTCTGAGGCACGAGGGGGATCTTGGCAGCTGATTGGGTTTAGGGCCAAACTTTGACAACTTTTAAACCGTCGATGGCTTGAGGATGTCAGCATCTCTTGTGCATGATAGGGCTTAAGGCCGTCGTCGTCCAGTCGTGCGGCGAGCGGTTTCCTTGGCCTCCATCTACGACCAAAATTTGGCAAAAACATGTTCCGAGGCCACAAGAAGCCCTCTGAGCTTGAGGCCCCAAATCCGAAAACCCCCGAACCAAAGCCCCTAATCCCTCGATCCCAAGATCCCAGAGCCATCAACCCTCGATCCCCAAACTAAACCCCTAAACCCTGAGCCCAAGAAACCCTGAGCGCTGCAAAGGCCCGTGAGAGCTCCGCTTCATCACGCTTCGGACGAAGAGAAAGAGAAACAGACCGGGTTCTTCGAGATGACATGATCTGAGGCATCCACAGAATATCGAAGTTGAATTTGCCGGAGTGGTAGGCTAAGCCCCAGACACTGGTCCGCCTGCCCCTTGCACCCCAAAGTGGGATGCCAAACCCCACAGAATGAGCCATATTTCAAGTCACAGAGGCAGAAGTTCGGGGCAGGGTCGACCGGGAGCTGTAGCATGTGGAGGAAAGCCAAAAACATGTCATATAGGGGCCTGAATACTTAGGGCTTTGGGGTACAGTATAATTACTATAGTCCTATATAGGGACTTCAGCGAGCCGAGACATCCCTGCAAACTAAACTGCTAGCATTTCAGAACATATTGGGTTGAAGGTTTCTGCTGCATTCCTTTTCCACCACCACTGGCATTTGCTGCTGCATTGTTGAAGTTGGTGGAGTCCGCAAATTTTCTTCCCAAGTCGACGTAGGAACTCCACTTCGGGCTTGCCTTGAGAAGCATACCTATCTTAACTTTACGGCCTATACAGAAACTGTTTGTCATCCCAGTCCCAATGACCTCAAAACAGCCGTTTTTGGGGCAAAACACTTTCGACCGGTGCAATCGTACCTGCACTGACATGGCAAGCTTTTGAAGCCTCGGCCATGGAGGACTGGAGGGCACGATGGCCCATCCCTTACCTGCGGGCCCTGTGGTCCGTGGTGCGGCCACCGCTCGTGAGATATCGGGAGATCGCCCCAGCAGCCGGGCTCATCTACGCTATCTGGCAGAGGCCAGCGGCCCTAAGACCCAAGCCCCTCAACGCTGAAATCCCGAAACCCTGCCTGAAGCCCTAAAGCTCTTAAGCCCCCTACTACAGGGCCGTAAATAAATAATGACCAATACTAGTTTAAGAAATCCCTATCCTAGTTAGTTCTGAAGGTCCCTATATTATAGTACCCTTATAGATCCCTTCTAGTAGCCTGTATCATGCTTCCCCACGCTTTGCTGGCAGAGGCGGCAATGGCAAAAGCAGACCGAGTTGCAGGCCCTGGCAGTCAGAGAGGGGCGCTTCATGGAGCAGTGCCTCAGTGCAATGAGGCACTGAAATTTTGGGGCTTAGGGTTTATGGCTTTACGGTTTTTTCGGTTTAGGGGTTTAGGGGTTAAGGTGTAGGGTTTACGGCTTAGGGTTTCCGGCTTAGGGTTTGGGGACTTTAAGTTTTTGAGCTTTTGAACTGCGCCAGTATGCAGTGATCTTGCTACCAAGGTGCTCTATCCTGCTGGTGAACCTCGAAGGTTTGACCTGCGGTGCCAACCTTTCTTCCACGGTGTCCATCCAGACACTGTTTACGCGGACTCTGAAGTCACTGATGTTCGACAACGAGACTTGTTCATAGTGAGCATACTTTGGGCTGTCGCCAGGCTCAAAGTTCGAGATCCTGCTTAAAGCGTCCACCCCTACACATGAATGCTGAAGCTTGGATCCTTGACTACAGGCCTAAACCGCAGGCGATGCGTCCAAAACCTAAACCCCACAAGTCTGTATGCTAAGCCCTCTTACTCAAAGCTAAATGCCAAACCGACATCCCAATATCCATAAGCCCTAAACCTAAGCTTTGCATAGGAGAAGATGGTGGAGTTGGTTTCTTACGCAGCCGAGAGGGCCACCCCTTCACAACCACTCCTGGAACTGGGTGGGGACGGCTCCTCGGTTTACGAATCTGACAGGGTATCTTGGGGGGTTCTATGAGGGTTCTATACTACGCGACCCGAAGCGAAACAACCCCTAAGTCCTAAAGGATCTCTACGGGATATGCTGTGCTTTGATTCCTTGCCTCTATGCTGCTGCAAGCCAATAAGGTTGGCTTGTCATGGCGAACATCAACGCTCACCTCATGGAGGTCCGCGGTGGCGTGTGTTCTTTGTGCTGATTACTCCGACTGTTCTCATCAGTCATTACGATAATGGATGATGCCATCGTACTGATAACTTGTGCGAATTACACACACATACAAAGTACAAAGAGTGTGAGAGAGAGATGTACACACACGAATATATATATATATATATATATATATATATGTATATGTATATGTATATGTATATGTATATGTATATGTATATATATATATGTATGTATGTATGTATGTATGTATGTATGTATGTATGTATTTATATATGTATGTATGTATGTATGTATGTATGTATTTACATATATGTATACATATATTTATGCATAAATAAATAGATAAATATATCTGGGCCATGTTTTTTTTTTTCGAAGGTGCGGCCAACCCTTGTTTGCGAGGTGCGGCCAAGGGTCCCTGGTGCATGCGGTCCCCTAGTCCTCTGGTCCTGGGTCCTGTGGTCCCCTGGTCCTCCGGTCTGCTGGTCCTCTGGTCCTGTGGTGTCCGTGCATGCGGTCCCCTAGTTTTCTGGTCCTTGGTCCTGTGGTCCCCTTGTCCTCTGGTCTGCTGGTCCTCTGGTCCCGTGGTCTCCTGGTGCCGTGGTCTCCTGGTCCTGCGGTCCGCGGTCCCTCGGTCCCGCAAAAGCAACAAGAAAGCAAACAAGGAATAACAAAAATAAAGCAAAATTTCAGAAGTAAGAAAACCAGAAGAAAGATGATGAAGGAAAGAAAGCCAGGAAGAAAGCACAAAAGAAAGCAAGAAAGCAGAGGAGCTAGCAAGGAATGAAAGAGAAACAAGAACGGGAATCCGTTTTTGTTTGCGTCCTTTTTTTCGGTCCTCTTTTTTTTGCCTCCACGTCCTGTTATTTACACAGGGAAGGAAGAAAGCAAGGAAACAAGGAAAGAGGAAGGAAGGAAGGAAGAAGGAAAGAAGAAGGGAGAGAAGGAAGGAAGGAAGAAAGCAAGAAAGCAAGGAGACAAGGAAGGAAGGATGGAAGGAAGGAAGGAAGGAAGGAAGGAGGAAGCAACTAAGCAAGGAAGAAGGATCGAAGGAAGAAAGGAAAGAAGCAAAGGAACGAAGGAAGGAAGGAAGGAAGGAAAGGAACGAAGGAAGGAAGGAAGGAAGCAAGGAAGGAAAGAAAGAAGGAAGAAAGGAAGGACGGTAGTACATCAGTATATAAAGTAAAAAACACATATACATATATATATATATATATATATGTATACATAGTATACATAGTACATGTACATGTATATATAGTATGTATACTAGATATAGTATGTACAGTATATACATATAACATGTGTATATATAATATATATTCATATAGTATATGCATATATATATATGTAGTATATATATATATGTAGTATATATATATATAGTATATAGAGTTTATATTGTATATTTTTATCTACAGTATATATAGTATATATAATGTATAAAGTATATATAGTATATATATAGTGTACATAATATATACAGTATGTATATATGTATATATATATATAGAGTATATATGTATAGTATATGTAGTAGATTAAGTAGATATAGTATTAGTATATACAGTTTATATAGTATCTATAGTATATATTATTTTATATAGTACATACAGTAGATATAGCATATATAGTAGATATAGTAGATATGGTAGATATAGTAGTTATAAGAGATATAGTAGATATAAGAGATATAGTAGGTATAGTAAATATAGTAGATATAGTATATATATATATGTATATATTATATACATATTGTATATATGGTATATATATATATATATTATATAGTAAATATAGTACATACAGTATATACAGCATACATATATATATATATATGTATATATATATAGTATATATAGTCTATATAGTATATATAGTATATATAGCATATATAGTAAGTATAGTGTATATATATATATATATATAGTGTATATATATATATATATATATACATATTCATACAGAGAGAGAGAGAGAGAGAGAGAGAGAGAGAGAGAGAGAGAGAGTGTGTGTGTGTGTGTGTATATATATATATACATACATATGGAGGGCCCATTATTTTGGATCTTGTTGTTGTTTTTTTTTGTTTGGTGTTTTTCCATGGTTTTCCTGGGGAAAACACTATTTTCCTCACGTTTTGGACGGATTTGGTGTGCTTTTCTTGGTTTTTCCACCTGAAACGAAAAGAACCCAGGAAGACAGAACGAAACACCCCAGAACAAGGACCAAAGCAAGGAAGAAGAACAGAAAGAAAGAAAAGAAGTAAGACAGACGGTTGGAAATTCAGGTTCGGAACCCAGATTCACAACACGGATTTTCTTGGGTTGTTGTTTCAGCGGGGTTACACGCGAAGCAACACAATCAATCATGAATGACTTGGAAGCTCTCTTGAGCCACGAAGTAATCAACAATAACGTGTTTGCCAGCCGGTCGTTTGCTACGAAATAAATAAAACCGTGTTCGTCAACACAAAAAAAATGAAGCCAGACAACAATGCTTCAGGGGGTTTTAACGCGAAGAAGACCAAATCAATCCTGAAGGATTTAAAAGGTTTGCAAATGGGGGGGGCTGCGCCCCCCCCAACCCCCCCGCTTTTTTTAGACTAAACTCCCCGCTCTCTAAAGCCACGGAAAATGCACAAAAACGTATCCGCCAACACACAAGCAGGGGAAGCCAGACAATAATGCTTCAGGGGGGTTTAACGCAAAGAAGACAAAATCAATCCTGAAGGATTTAAAAGGATTGCAAATGGGGGGGGCTGCGCCCCCCCCCAACCCCCCCGCTTTTTTCAGACTAAATTAACTCCCCGCTCTGTAAGCCCGCGAAGAAATGAACATACACGTATTCGGCAACACACAAGAAGGGGAAAGCCAGACAGCCACGCTCCAGGGGGTTTAACGCGAAGAGCAGCAACAACACGACGACATCAACGACACCACCACCACCAACGACGACAGCAACGACATCAACGACACCACCACCGCCACCAAGGCAAATAGTTTTGGAAATGGCTTCATTTCCTATAATTTAATTTGTTTGTGATGCTCTTTTTTTTAAATCAGTTTTTTGTTGATCCCTGGATTTCATTTGTTGTTGATGATTAGTTTTTTTTGATGCTTCACCCAGGGATCCTGCGCTTCGAAGCGCTGGCGCTGTGGTGCGGCGCCAATTGTCTACGTCCCCGATGAACCCTCCACAGGGATCCTGCCCCTCGAAGCGTTGGCTCTGTGGTGCGGTGCAAATTTTCTACGTCCCCGATGAACCCTCCACAGGGATCCTGCCCCTCGAAGCGTTGGCTCTGTGGTGCGGTGCAAATTTTCTACGTCCCCGATGAACCCTCCACAGGGATCCTGCGCCTCCAAGCGCTGGCGCTGTGGTGCGGCGCAAATTCTCTACGACCCCGATGAACCCTCTACAAGGATTCTGCGTGTCGAAGCGCTGGCGCTGTGGTGGGGCGCAAATTCTTTACATCGCCGATGAACCCTCTACAAGGATCCTGGGTGTCCAACCTGAACAAATCCTTGGCCGCACCTCCGAAAAAAGAGGGTTGGCCGCACCTTCGAAAAAAAAAACCCCCCCCGCCAATATATCTATATATGTATATACGTATCATACGTATGTATGCTTATACACATAAAATATATACATTTTGTGTATATGCAAGAAGTATACATACACATACACTTACACATGTCTACAATGCATACACGTGCGATCCCGTTTCTGGGTTCACCCACCCCCTCCCTTCCCTGTTTTCCCTCGTAGTCGCTGCGCTGCCGCGCGACCCCAAGCGGACAAACTGAAAACGTCATAGTACGGGGTGCGGGCGGAGAGTCCCGCGCAGACCCATTTGAAGAAAAAGTACCACTGACCCCAAGCACCATATCACAGGATGTAAAGCATGATGCCGCATTAACCTGAAAACCCCTTAACTTTAACCCTGGTCCCCGCCCCCTAAATCCTGAAAAGCCTGAGGTCCCGAAGCCCTAAGCCCTAAACCCCCAAATCCAAAAAAAAAACATCAAACACACCCCAAATCCCAAAGTCAGGGGGAGTTGTGCAAAGGCCCTGGGCTCCAGCGGCCACGCGGCAGCAGCCTGTGGCTTCCCGGTGCGGGTGGTGGAGCTGCTTGGATGAGCTCTTCTCAACAGGGTGTAGGGTTCAGGGTTTAGGGTTTAGGGTTTTGGGGTTTAAGGTTTTCGGGTGTAGGGTCTAGGGATGAGTTCAAAGAGCCTCAAGAGCTGGGGAGGGTGGTGGCTTTCGGGGTTTCAGGGTTTAGGTTTTCTTTGGGGTTTAGGGTTCCAGGGTTTAGGATTGTTTTAGGGTTTAGGATTCTTGTTGGTGAGTGGGGCTTCAGGGTTGCTGGGACTTGAGGGTGTTGGGCTTTACGGTTTTGTTGAAAACGCAGGTTCGATAGGCCTTTTTAACCTTCTATGCTGTTGGCATAAGATTACTTGGGTTTTCGAAACGCCAAGAGCATGATCTTATGATACAGTTTCATATGCATACATACGATAACGAGATGGGCACATGAATGGAGAGATGGATCGATAGGTACGGTAGCATGTGCATGTATCCGTACAGTTGATTCTATGTAACTCTCTCTCTCTCTCTCTCTCTCTTTTTCTCCAGATGTATGCAATACACATGTATGTATATGTGTACACGTGATATGTCCCAATTTGCATGTGCAGCCTGAAGTGCAAGCGACACGAGAGACAAGGTTTCTCTACGCGCTGGTCAATGATCGGACGACCAAATCGCGGCAGCAGCTGCGAGCCGACCTGCTCAATTTTTGGATGTCAGGGTTCGCCAAAGCTTCCATCCGGGTTCTTTTAGATTCTGTCTATAGGGGCTCCAAGGATCGTGCAAGCGTTCTCCAAGGGTTCATTCCGAACCTCAACCCTGAACCCTAAGCTCTTGAACCCTAAACTCTAAACCCGAAGAGCGTCAGTTTTTTGGGCAAGAATTCACTTCAAACCCGTAGAGACTCTAACCCCAAAGCAGGGAGGTTTGGGCGTTCAAGGTCTTGGGGTTTCAGGCTCTGGTGACTAAGGCGCAAGCTTTGAGCCTCCTGCCATTTGAACCCATCTGCAGGTCTATGTGGTGCGCGAGAGCGACTTGCGCAACATTCCGGAGGCGTTACGCTGTGCAGGGTTGAGGGTTTCGGGGCCTGGGGTCAGTGTTTATCCAGACCCTCCAAGCCCCAAGGTCGTAATGTTAAGATTGTCGCACACCTTCAGCAGAAAGGATCCGAAGCCTTATCTCCAAACCCAAGCAACCTCTGAAGCCTCTTGAGCCCCGAAGCCTCTAGCCAACCCCAAAGCCCAATCCCAACAGAAGCAACGGCGGCCGAAAGCGTCGGAGATCAGCGGGTCCTTCATGATTCATGAACACGGGCCCGAGAATTGACAAATCCTAGAGTCCTAAGCCCTGAAGCCCTCTGGCCCATGTACGTCCCTTCATAGAACCCCAGACAAACGCAATTTATCACCCCATGGCGCCTGAACCCTTTAAATCCCCAATCCACCGAAGCGGATTTCATCCTTTTGCGAGGCGGCTGCGTTGGATCTGCGACGGAGCAGCCACCGGAACGCGTACGGCGTTCTGCAGAGCATGGCAAGGTGCTCCGCTGACTTTTCGGTTTGAGGGTTTTAGGGGCCATGGTTCTGCTGCAGATGGAAACCGATGACGCGTTGTCACGCGGTGTGTTGCCTACGACATGCCCTGTCAGTACAACCAGTGGAAGTGAGTCCACCTGACCGAGTTCCTTCACCGATTTTTTGTTGCAGCCATACGATCCTGCAAGTTCTATCGCTCCATGCCACACCGAAGAAACTGACCAGAATGAATTTCCCAACATCTGGCCGTCAAGCGGGACGTTGTAAATTTCAACCTTTGTGCCCCCAAAAAGCCAGCAAAGTGGAGTCTCCCACTAGTTTGCTGCAAAACGATGTTCTGCAGTTTAACATCCTCCAGCACGGAACCACCCACGGTCTTAGCTCACCATGACCTTGACGGTGAATTGCCAAAAGCCCCAAAATCCTAAATCCAACCCTAAGCCCCCAAGAGGGTTGGGAGCCCTAAGCACTGAGCCGCACAGGGGGAGCCTCCGAAACCCTTAACCCGCCCGGGAGCCCAAGAACCACTCCCAGGTCGTATTCCGTCCCTCCGCCACAAATGCGAAAGCACAACGTGCTGGGCATGACGCTAGGCTTGTTCGGTTTACGGTTTAGGGAGCAGGGTTCCAGATTTTCCGGTTTCGTTCTGGAGGATTCAAAGTTCTGGGCACCCATGGTTTGCAAGGGAACATCAAGCAATGAATCTTAGTGTCGCTGCGGCAGATACTGCTGCTTTTGCTGCTCCTGGTACTTCTACTGTCCCTACTGCTGTCACCGGTACAGCTACTGCTATCGCTGCCAGCCCTGCTGCGATTACTGCAGCTATTGCTGCCGCTGCTGCTGCAATCCTCCGATTGTTGCCGCTGCCGAACGTCAAGACTTTAGGCTCACCTAAAACGACAAAGCCCCCTCTTCCCAAATGCACTGAAACCCAGCAGAACTGCAACACGACCATCTGCCTGAAACCTAAACCCTAGTAAGGACTTCGGCAAGGTTTCTCTAGACACATCTCGGATTAGTTTCTGCAGAAAACACCCAAGCCTAAGCCCCAAACTCAAGTTCACTTGATCACCCTTAAAAGCTTTCACCTGGCCAGCAGAAAGTCAACCTACCCACCCTCAAAAAAAAGGCTTTTTTCAAAGCCGTTGAACGACAGGCCTTAGCACACAACAAAAGACCAAAAGGATTGCCAACAAAGTCGCGTAAGACTTAAAGCCTACAGCATCTTCCAAAGAGACCCCCTTCACAAACAACACCCCTAAACAAAAGCGTACCGGCTGAAGACCCTAAATCCTAAACGCTAAAACTCCTAAGCCCTCCAAACCCCCAAAACCGTAAAAACGCCTAAGCCCCATGAGCCTTCAACCCCAAAGGCCCTAAAAAGTCCCCAAAAAGCCCTCAGCCTGAAGACCCCGAGTCCCAAAAAGCTACAAAGCCCAAACGCTAAAAGCCTGAAAAGCTTCAACGCCCCACAAACCCCAAACTACACCCTAAGTCCTAAACCCCTGAACCCTAAACCCCAAAACCTAAACCCTAAATCCTAAACACCCTAAAGCCCTAGGCTCCTAAACAACTAAAACCCTAAACCCAAACACCCTACAACACCTTAAAACCCTCTAAAACACCCTAAGACGCCCTAAAACCCTAAAGCCTAAATCCCAAAACGCACCAGGACCCTGAGCCTCAAAACCCCCCCCCCCCCCAAAACGCCCCAAGGACCTCCGGCCTTCCGAGCGCCATGGGCCGCACGTGGATCACCTTCCCGCAGAGGGGGCGGGGCCGCTCGGCCCTCTGATCCGGGAACCGCCCTGAGGACTTTCGGTTCAGGGTTTCGGGTTTAGGGTTCCACGATGGAGCCCAGTCTGTGTAGAAATGTGCGGGGGGGGGGTTTAGGGGTTAGGGGTTTAAGGGTTTAAGGGTTAGAGGTTTAGGTTTTGGAGGTTAGGGGTCAGGCTTCTTCGTTTTGGAATTTGGGGGCTTTGTGGCCTTGGGGTTTAGAGTTTGGGGGGTTTGGGGGTTTCGCGGTTTGGGGTTGAGAGTTGGATTATTGCTGCTGTTATCGCGCTTGTTTCTTTGAGTCTCGCCGTGGCTAACTTTATTAGTAGTATTGATATTGCTGTCTATAAGCATTAGTAGTCATGTATACAAATGGGTGGAGGGCTTAGTGCTCGGGGTTTGCGGTGTTAGGAGTTTGTGGAGTTTGAGGATATTCTATTTATTTGGAGGTTGGACGGGCAGCTTAGGAGACTAGCGGCGTGTAAGGTGTACGGGAATTCCCGAGGGCTTTGTTTGGGGTCTGCTAAAGTTAGTTTCAACCCAAAACGGCTACACTCTGAATCCCAAATCCTTGACCAAGGTTTGCTTCCTGAGTCTTCGGGCTTTGGGTTCGGAGGTTTGGTACATACTTAGCGTACTCTATCTAGGTCATAGAGAAGAAGAAGATTGGGCTCCCGGAGGCCTTGATTTCCTTTTGTTCTGTGCATCTCTCTGCTGCCAGGGGCTTGAAAGCCCCACTTTTGAAGGCAAATCTTTCAAACTTGCACTGGTTTAGGGCTTCGTGACGATCATCCTCTCATCCGCACTGCCAATCCCAGCCCCCAGACGGTACCCCCTCTGAAGCTGACATGAGCACATGGAAGGCCATTGTGCATTTGAGAGTAAACTGTATTAGAGTTCACTTACGCCGCTCACTTTGGAAGCCCTAAGCTGCGAAGCATACATTTCCAAACTCCGAAAAAGGGGCCAAGGACCCCGTGGAGCAAAGTATCCTCGCGGGGCAGCTGGTAGCATAGAAGACATCCGAGAACTCTAGGGGCCTAAATGATTACCTATACTATTTTGGGGGGTCCTTATTATACTTATAGTTTAATGGGCTCCAAAGCCCTATTCTAATTATGAAGGCGCCTATATTATAGTACCCTTGTAGATCCCTTATAGCAGCCCTTCTAGACCCCTTTAACAGGAACCTTATGCTAATTATGAAGGCCCTAGCCCTATTTTGCGCAGCTGCCAGTCCTTGGCCTGCAAAAGGCTTTTGGGGATTTGGATGGAGCGATGTGGGAGTTCAGGAGTCCGACACTCATGTTCTGGTGATTGGGTTTTTCAGACCCCAAGCCCCAAACCCTCAACCCTGCGGATTTGGGGGTTCAGGGTTTCGGGAGTTAGGGTTTGGGCGTGGGGTGTCGGTTTCGGGTCTGGGGCAGTTGACGATCGTTGTTTTTCTTGTTTTGCGGCTTTGGGGTTGACTTGGGCACCGGGCGCTTCCTTGCCTGGACTGGAACATGCAGGCGAAAGTTGTGGAAGTTTCAAGTTTGAGGGTTTCGGCAAGATATGAGGCCTATAAGCCTGAAGCCTCCGTTCGTGCACCGAAAGATGCCCGAACCTGTAAGCCTCTAATAAAATAGGCGTAAGTAACTATGTAAGCCTATTTTATATAGTCCCTTTATTGTATTTCGTTTTTAACCCGCGAAACATATCAAAGACAGCCTAGTTTCAGTACTTTCCTATTTGCAACTGAGTAGACTTTGCGCACATGTTCTTTCTGCAACTGCCTTCTTTCCGCTGCTTTTCTGATACAGCTGATCTGGTACCGTACGATGACGATGCTGTATCTAGCGCTGATTCTTCCATTCGCTGCCGGGTCCCCGGTGGTCGGGGCTGGCGTCGTGGTGTGGGTGGAAAGTGGACACTTGAATAATTTCTTAGAGTTGCAGGACCTGAGAACCCTCGTTTACAGGAACCCTTGCGATTTCGGGGTTTAGGGTTCAAGGTTTAGGGTTTCATCGTAACCATTTGCGACATGTTTCGAGAGGTCAGGGGCCTCGTCATTGACCGTTTTGTTTCTGTGGCAGGAATCTAGAAGCCCGCAATACGGCAGATCTGCTGTTAAGATGCCGCAGTACATAGCGCTTCATCAAGTTACGTTATAGTTATGGTGTATTGTCTCTTCTTCCCAACATATGAATACTGGACGCAGCGGACCAACAATCACAGCAGACCTAGAAGCTGTACCGGCGTCTTCCTAGGAAGGCCAGCTTACATAGTACAAACCCTAAAGCCTAAGATTTCTAAGTGCTCTTCAAACCCTGCTGGCCTGCACAGCATCGTACTCGTAATCGTGGTCGTGTGGCTGAGAGCCCGGTGAATTCCAGAAGCGCGGAGCCCGAATGTTTGGGGTTGGGGAAGGTTTTAGAGGGTGTGGCATCTTTGTTAGGGCCTTCTATCGTTACTTCTCCTAAACCCCAAGCCCTAAACCCTGAACTTTCAACACTAACCCCGAAACCCTGATTTTCAACCCCTGAACCCTTAAAGCTCTAAGCCCTAAACCCCTAAACCCCAAGCCCTGAGCCCTAAACCCCTAACCCCTCAACCTGAAACCCTAACCCCCTAAACCCTAGACCCTAAACCCCTAAACTCTAAACTGTAACCCCCGAACTCTCAACCCTAACGTCCTAAAACTTCACCCCTAGACCCTAAACCCCTAAACTGGAGCTCTCCAACTGTACTGCAGCTGGAAAAAGGTCCTCCCCATTAAACCCTAAACTGATATCGCTAATGTATTAAAAAGGACCCCCCAAAATAAGGTACCCCTGTGTTCGGAAACTCCGAGACTCCCATATCGCTACTGAACGCCGAGGCCGAGTTGCCCTTTCTCGCAGCGGCCAGCCAGAAAGAGTCCCTGAGAGGCGGGCTTTTGGGTTTGGGGCTCCTTTAAAGGGTGCTACAAGGGTTCCTTCAAAGAACCGGTCTAGAAGGGTTCCTTTAAGGGGTACTATAAGGATTCCTTAAGAAGGGATCTTTAAGGCCTCAAGGGTTTGGGGGTAAGGGTTTTAGAGTTTCGGGGTTAAACCTTCTTTCTAGGCTTCCCCATGATGATTTCCTTATACAAGTCCTCAAAAAAGGTAGGCTATTTGGGGTCCAGGTAGGGTTTAGGGCCCAGGCAGAGGGTTTCGGATCAAAAACGAAGGCTTCGACAGAGGGTTGTATGTGAGGTGTAGAGCTTACTGAAAAAGGGCTTCGCATGCCCTGTTTAGTGGTTTTTAATGAGGCTTCGTGCAGGGTTTCATATGGTTTGTATTGGAGTTCAATATGGCTTGTGTAGGGGTTTATACATGTCACCGCTTTCAACGGTTTCGTGCAGGGCTGGACCATCTCGGGGTCCTTATGATGTTGGGTTAAGGGCCGATATCAATGCGTGTACATCGGTTTTTGTCACGGTTCAGTGTTTGAGGTGTAGAAGCCACAGTCATAGATGCTGATAGAAGTCAATATCTATGACTGCTGCTACAACAGCAACTACTTCTTCTGCTACTACCGCTACTACTTACTACTACTACTACTACTACTACTACTACTACTACTACTACTACTACTACTACTACTACTACTACTACTACTACTACTACTTCTACTACTACTACTACTACTACTACTACTCCTGCTACTACAACAACAACTACTACTACTACTACTATTGCTACTACTACTACTGCTACTACTACTACTACTACTACTGCTACTACTACTACTACTGCTACTACTACTACTACTACTACTACTACTACTACTACTACTACTGCTACTAC